AGGTTACGCGATATGCTATTTCCATTATATTTATTTCGTTAGATATTGTTAAATTTATTATACGATTGCGCTATTGTAAATTTATCATACTAGAAAAACGTGGACCGGAAACTATACTTACGAGATGTACCAAAGGAGATCCTATTAAGAGCATCAGTAATACTGTTACAATTAAACCGAATCTGAATTCGATGTTTTCCGCATTTTCCATTTGTGCATACGCAAGCAAGACCATTACGAAAGCTGTTACCTTGCCTATTAAAGCAAGCGTATCCTTCTAAAAATGCATAAGACTCGTAAAATATTTATTCAGGCGTTGGGACAGTTAGAACTATTTATCCGAAAGGGTACAGCCGGATAAGGGAGTCAAAAATGCCCCTAAACCAAATTCGTCTTGCGACATGTCATTCGATAGCGTATCAAAAAAGAACAATTTGTGCCAAGTTTCAACATTTTATCTCGACTGGGGGGGGGAATAGTAAAGTGCAAAAATGAAAGACACGTTCTTGCTCAATTTCTCCCACCTTAGTGCATGAAAAATTTTGAAAAAATCAGAGACACTTCAGTTAACGAGACACATATTACAGACTTTTTTTTAGATTTTTAAATTGAAAATTCAAGCTATAAAAAATAAAAAACGCAAAAAATGCTGAAAAATCCCCATTTTGTATTGAAGGAGTCCCGGAACTATGATTATATTTTTTGAGTAAATTGTACATATTATTGATATTATTATTCTGAATTTTTTGGTTAGGTCCGCCGTAGTTAAAAAAATTAAAACCCGATTTTTTCATCTCTTTTCAATTTTTTTAACTACAGTGCACCTAACCAAAAAATCTCAAAAAATTCAGAATAATAGTTATCAGTTATTATTAATTAAAATTTTACACCTTTTTCTAATATTCAATGTGCAACAGCATCTGTTTTATAACAAGACATAATTTATAATATACCATTAATATGTAATTTATTAGATTAGAGAAAAACAGGATACATAGGGTGGACCAAATAAAGTGTTACAGCTATTTTCTCCAAAACCATTGCTAATATTGGCTTCAACTCTTTTTTTAATTAACTCTTATGTCAATTCCCATAATTGTCGTCTACTTTATCGTCCAATTTTAGTAGCTTTCTGATAACGAAATTCTAAACTTGACGCAAACACGGTTAAGAAATATGCTAAACAACAACGATCTGGCCGGATATTCAAATCTTTTACCGGGAAGATCAAATATTTTGAGTGAGAAAATGTGCAAAAGGGTACCCGGTTATTGACATAAAGGTTAAATGAGACAAGGGGGCTAATCATTTGGTGTGCAACAAATTTTTCTGAGGTGGTTGCTAAGAGGACAAAGAGAATCTTCCCCATTTCTTTTTAAATAAAACTGTGTATTAAGAGAGAACAAGACTTTGAAGCCCGCAAAAAGCACGTTTTTTGTCAATTATTTTTGAGACATCCTTCGTTGAAATTTTATTCATTGTGGGTTTAAATGTGCATATATTGGGCAATATTTCAGAGTTTTTTTTTATTACTAAATACACATATATAATCACATTATAGAAGTTGCTGTATAATAATTTTTAGAAAAATGGCAAACCTTGAAACGAAAAGTTTTAAAATTTTGATAAAAAATGAGTATATTTTGAGGTGAAATAAATAGTAAATATTACTTTAAAAAATTTCCGTACGATTAGCTGAAGACATTTTTATGTAGAACGTATGTACGTGAAAATAGAAGTTCATTCCTTTAAAATGGGACGAGAAAAACATGCAACCAGTTTAGAAAACGTATTTAAAGTTTTCTGTTGATTTATTTTGTTTATAAACAAAAAAATTTCAAGACACCGTATCTCGTCAATCCATAGCACTTGTCATCTTCGCTCGCTGACAGTCGATTGATCAACGTTTCTCGATCCCGTACATCGAAACTGCAACCGAGAGATGTGAGCGCATTCGCGGTATCGATGCACCATGCACATCTTTCTCCATACAATGATTATGCATTGTGGATCGAATTTTGACCCAGGCCATCTATGTACATTGCTCAAATAAAATATCATTCCATTGTTAAACAAACAAACAGTTGAATATGTTGTTGTTTGAACAACAATGGCACGGTTTGAAGATGTTGTTGGCAAATACAGTAAATCTTCCCGCAGTGTCCACCAGTTCGGATTCTCAGTGTCCATATTGGTGGTCTTACGCCTAGGTCTGCGTTATTCCTACGCCTATGTTATATTTTTCGCAGTCAGTCAAGCGTGTAATGCTGTGCGAAGCGGTACTTTTGATGAGATTTCACGGCTGGACAGTTTCATAATAAAATAGTATAACTTTTTTAATTTTGCTTTTTTTATTTGAAAATTTGTTTAACATATTGGTGAGATTTTTCTGATTAAAATGAGATCAAACACGATATAATTTTTACCACACTGTCCAGGCACAGCTTATGCATTCGACAGACAATATGGAAGGCATAGCTTACATTCGACGGACAATGTGAACAGATATTTCATGTATTTTTCTAGCAATCCGTTTTTATAATTCATTCAAAGCGATAATGAAATGAAATGAGTTACTCAATGAGTATTAACCCTTTGCAGCCCTATGTCGAATCAGACTCCACGTAGGAATTTTTGCCTTCAAGTATCACACAATGAGAAATTATAAATTAGAAACGATAATGAACCATTTTTGTATGCAATAATATTATACTGAAACTTAATATTTTATAACTAATATTACGCAAAAATATTGAAATAAAGGCAAACTACACGGTACTGCCCGACAGTAGTCAAATGACTGCGAATTAACTGGACTATTCGGTCCGCAAAGGGTTAATAAGTAAACGTTTTCCAAATTATATCGTGTTTGATCTCATTTTAATCAGAAAAATCTGACCAATATGTTAAAAAAAATTTAAACCACTCGGTTGCCTCGATTCTCGTTTCATCCTTTTCTTTTATTCATTATCCCTGTCATCGTTCGGCGGACTACAAAAGCGGACTGCGAGTCTCGAAAAACAGTACATACATATCCCTTTACTGAAACTGTCCCTATTCGGTTCCGAACTAATTGTGAGGGACAATGTGAAAAGCTTTACTGTACTGTATTTGTTTGGCAATGGGAAAATTTCTTGGAATCGTTTATCAATAACTTTATACTTGATTAGATTTTCTAAAAAGATAGACAGATAGATATCAGTATTTTCAGATTTCCTTAGAAGATTAGATGATTGAAATGGCAAACTTTAATAAAAGTCTTGATATGTTATTAGTGCTAAGCAATGCCAACGCAATTACCGACAAGCTGCTAAGGTATTCTCTGAACGCAGGGATTCGATACCGATATGAAAGATACTGAAACAGCACAAATATCATCCATACCACATGTGTCTTTATCGAGATCTGTTCGGAAATGACTTCCAAAATCGAATTATTTTTTGCACATGGCATCATAATCTCATCTATAATGCCAATTGATTTTTATTACTGCCTCCTTTTCTCAACGAAGATACATTTTTTAATACTAGCCAAGTGAATAAGCAACTTTCATTACTGGCCAAATGAAAATCCTCACTGGTTGCAAGTTGTTTCGTTTCAATTCTGGTGGTCAACAAATGTGTGATGCAGAATTATTGAAAATCATGTGATTGAACCACATTTCTGTAAATAAACTTCGGCAAGTGCAGTTTATGCTCATTTTTTAACAAACATTTTCCCCACATTTTTCGAAAATATTCTATTACACATGAAAAGGAAGATGTTGGTTGCCCCAGCATACTTTGCGAGAAATACACATATTACAAAAAAAAATTTGAAAATTGGATTGGACGATTGGTCCTGTTTTGTGACTACCTTTGTCACCAGATCTAACGTTATAAGATTTGTTTTTATGATGTTGCATAAAACAGTGATGGCTATTGCTTCAACAACAAAGAAAGATATAGAAATAGCAATATGTACTGCCTGTGCATTGATTACTTCAGTAATTTTATCAAATGTTTGAAACAATATTCGTTTATTTTGATATCTTTCGGTGCCTCCCTGAAGTTTCTCTTGAGAAAAGTATTCTTCGTCATAGCTCTAACTATGCAGAATAAAAGAAAGGTTTCAAGTAAACAATATTAAGTCCAAAAAGAGCTATCCAAATAAAGAAAATTAATTAATATGCCATTGTATTTAGACGAAAACATTCTTTATCACTCTAGGAGCCCCTCAGAAAAATCCATTACACAGAGATAATTAGATCTCCTGTCCCATTTAATGTAAAACAAAATTGAAATCAATCTGCAGTAATGAAAACAGCTTGTAACACTGTATTTGACTCATCCTACATTCAAAGAAAATAACGTATCAAATAGCAGCATCACATGCTTGAATTATATATGTGGACTCGTACCGTTTGTGGTGAGTAATAGTAATATACAGACATATATGCCACATTTGTAAGTAATCCAAAAACATTAATATTAATCATTGCAGGATCTCTTACAATCCATGCATACCGAAGCATCAAAGTGCACCTAAAAGAAAACTCTTATTCACTATATGTTCATCTAGGTAACCTATATTACCTTTTTGAGTTATAATTTATAATTTTTTTTTCACAATTATAGGCATAGAATAGCATAGAAAATGCTTTTACAATAGACAGACACATTAAAACTATATTTAAGAAACATTTCCTTCCAAGGGTAAAACAACGAATAAAATATCTTCAACAACATTAACCATGGGTTTATTTGACATTATTGTTACCTATATTAAGTAAAACATTACACTCACATTCCTATGCCACCCAAAAAAGGCATTGGGTCAAAACCTTTAGATGAACCTTTTCGATAAATATCCTTGCATATTAATCTATAATTAAAAAATAGATATTATCTTTTATTACTCTTTGATATTCTCAAATTAGCAACAAAAATATATTAAAAGTATCTATACAAAATCATGTGCATAAATCTTTTTCTACTTTTTGTAATGTGATGAGAAATATAATTTTAGATAGTCTACAAACCCACAAAATGTGATTCGTATAAAATGCCTAACACTATATAATCATAATTTGTTTATATAGAATGGTACAAGATATCATTAAGTAACTGCTCAAATAAATATTCATAAATCATATTATGTGAGTACTTGTATTCAAAATTTAAATTGTA